CCAGCCCCAAGTGGCATCCCACCCTGTCCTGTGCATATCCGGGGGGCATACGCACCCCCACTCCCCATGCCCTACCAGAGTGCGCACAGTAGCAAGAGCCACCCGCCCCTCCCCACGCTCACAAGACAAGCCACAGCTCCATCCCACACCCTGCCCTGCCCAGGCAGCGCCTGCCCCACCCACACCCTTCCCTGCCCCGGCAGCGCCTGCCCCACCCCCACTCCCCCCCCTCACCGCAGGGGCCTTGATCTGCCCCACACTACACATCCCTTCCACCACAAGACTTATCAGCTGCATGCAGCTCTCCAATCTGTATCTGAAATCAGATCATTATTGGCCTCCTTAAAAATCAGCTATCAGTATCGACCCCAAAAATCCCTATCGGTGCACCCCTAGTTAAAACGTTCTAAAAATGCATTTTATGGAAATGTTAAAATAAGAGCTTGAACCATGCCCTACTGTTGCACCAATTAAATAACTTGTGAGACTACAAGTTGCTACTCTATACATAAGCAACAGTACTAACAGTGGAATGGTTTTCCACTAGAAGCAGCTAGGTTTTTACTTGAAAGGAAATTAAAGAAAAATTATTTTCCAATATAGACCCCTTAGAGTAAACTCTTGGCAACTGTATCAATATTTAATGGCTGGTGCAGAATCCCATTAAAACACCTCCTCACTGCAGCTTGTCAGCCTGCCAGCTGCTACCATAACATTCAATCCAGAACTCAGGAAACCAAACTACTGTGTCATGACTATTAAAATCGATTCTGCTAGATTCTACTCAGTAATTTTAGGGATTTAATTTTTTTTTTTTTTTTTTTTTTATCACCGCACAATTTAGAGATACTAGATTTTCTGTGAGTTGTAAGGCTATCTGGCAACAACTGAGTGTGCTCAGACTTTTGAAGTATTTTAGATGACCTCTTTGTTATTGAAGACATCTAAATTTATTAATTTGAATCCTTGAGAACTAGTCCACTGGTCAGACAAAGAGATGAGAAATAACTATTGAGAAACTTTTCCCACAGTTTTGGAACATAGAAGCTGAATGCCACCCAGCAATTAGTTTCACCTGCTCTTGTTCACTGTCACCCTCTCCACTGGATCCTTCACTGGAATGATGCTGCGTCTTTGTGTGGGTCGTGCCATTATTCAGGGATGAAGATCTTTTCCTGCGGGCAGGGCTTCCATCCTCAGTATCACCATTCACCTTTTCTCCCATTTTTGTCCTTTTGGGTACTGGAGAATCACGGTCATCTTCAGACTGCCCACTATCCAATCCATGGGATTTACTCTTGATGGATTTATCATGGTATTTATAACCTTCATCTTTTTTATCTCTCTGGTATGTAACAAAATAATGAAGAAAAAGCCATTAAAATAACTGCAGATGTTCATACTGGCCAGGCAAAACATCACAAGAAAGTTTTTAAAGTAAAAAAGCATTTGTAGCAGTGCCCCTATGAAAACTTGTAAAGGTGCATGTATTCAGGTGTGCGTGCATATGCGTGTTCTTTCAGCACACTGCATGTGCATGAATTCAGGACACTGGATATGTGCGTGCGTGCACTTTCAACACATTGTGCATGTATGAATTCAGAACTGTGCGCGCATGAGTAAGCACACACATACATGTAAGCTTTCAGCACATTGTGCACGCATGAATCTGTGTTTGTGTGTGCATGCGCACATTTTCAGCACATTGCATGTGCATAAATTCAGAACACTGCATGTGTGAATACGCATACAAGCAAGCACATTGCATGTGCATGAATCCGTAACGCTGTGTATATGCACGCACATTTTCAGCACATCACATATGCAAGAGCTCAGAACACTACACACACATGAATGTGCACACACACTTCCAGCATATTGTGCGTGCATGAATCCAGAAGGCTGTATGCGTTTCCACATGCACATGCGTGTACACATTTTCAGTACACTGAGTATATATGAATTCAGACTGCTGTGTACTGTACACGTGCTTTCAGTACATTACACATGCGTGTAACCAGAACACTCTGTGCACACATGTATGTACATTTCCAGCACATCACATACATGTGTATTCAAAACAATGTGCACATGCACTTGTTTTCCGCAGGTTGCATGTGCACAAGTTGAGAACACTGTATGCACCTGTACACATATGTAAGACCAGGTCCAGCACCATGCAAGTGCACCTGTTCAGAACTGTGTGCACGTGCCCAGCACCCTGCCTACAGCAACAGACTTTTTCACTTGAAGGGGAATGCAGCCAGGCTGCAGGGAGTGGGGGGGACACAGGAGGCCTTTCCACTTTGGCAGAGATCCACAGCCTGGTTTAAAAATAAACCTGCTCCTTATGCCCGCCTCTGACATCAGGCTCCTACCTGAGGTCGCTTCAAAGCCCAAAATCTTTTCTTGTATTTAAGAAAGAAAAGATAACCCAATTCCCCCCCCCCTCAACAACCCCCACGAGGAACCGGGATGACGCAGCTGCCGAGGACCGCGGCCGAGCCCCGCGCCCCAACCCCTGCCCCGCTGCACAAGAA